TGGTACCGTCTCTAAATCAGGATGGAGGTTCCTCAAAAGATTAAAAATAGAACTACCATATGACCCAGCAATTCCTCTTCTGGATACATATTTAAAGGGACTAAAATTACCCTTTTATTAGCCTAAAATTACCCTCTGCCTTGGAGAGATACCCACACCCCCCATGTTCATTACAGCATTTTTCACAATAGCCAATACATGGAAACAATCTAAGTGTCTGTCTACAGATAAACGGATAAAGAAGATGATATGGACACACACACACAAATATTATTTAGACATAAAAAGTAAGGGAATCCTAAAAAAAAAAAAAGTAAGAGAATCCTGTCATTGCGACAACGAGGTGAAACTTGAGGATGTTATGCTAAGTGAAAAAAGCCAGACAGAGAAAAACAAATACTGTGGGATCTTACTTGTATGTGGAATCTAAAAAAGCTGAACTTAATGAAACAGAGAGTAGCCAGGTATTGTGGGGTGCAAGGAATGGGGAGATACTGGTCAAATGATACAAATTTTCAGTTATAGGAAGAGTAAGTTCTGGGGATCTTATGTACAGTATGGTGACTACAGTTAACAATACTATATTGTGCACTTGGAATTTGCTGAGAGAATAGATCTTAAATGTTCTCACCATACACACACAAAGTTAGCTATATGAGGTGATGGATGTGTTAACTTAATGTGGTTAGCATTTCACAAAATATGCGAATGTCAAATCATCACACTGTATACTTTAAACTCACACAAAGTTATCTGTCAATATATCTCAATAAAGGTGGAGGGGGGAGAATTGCAACCTTTTGGACATCAAAGGATACCATCAAGATAGCAAAAAGCCTTGAGTCTGGTGTGGATAGAACATATAAAGAATTCTTCCAACTCACAACAAAAGGACAAACAGTCCAATAAAAATAAAAATGGACAAAGGATTCAAGTAGAAATTTCTCCAAAGAAGATAACAATGGCCAACAAGCACAAAAAAAGAAGCTCAGCGTCATGAGTCATTAGGGAAATGTACATCATAACCACGTGCAATGCCATGCCACACCCAATAGAATGGCTATCATTTTTTTTAACATTTTTTTTGAGTTATACTCATTTTACAATGTTGTGTCAAATTCCAGGGTAGAGCACAATTTTTCAGTTATACATGAGCATACATATATTCATTGTCACATTTTTTTCCTCTGTGAGTTACCACAATATCTTGTATATATTTCCCTGTGCTATACAGTATAATCTTGTTATCTATTCTACATTTTGAAATCTCAGTCTGTCCCTTGCCACCCCTTGCCCCCGTGGCGACCACAAGTTTGTATTCTATGTCTATGAGTCTGTTTCTGTTTTGTATTTCTGTTTTGTTTTGTTTTGTTCTTAGATTCCACATATGAGCGATCTCATAGGGTATTTTTCTTTCTCTTTCTGGCTTACTTCACTTAGAATGACATTCTCCAGGAACATCCATATTGCTGCAAATGGCATTATGTTGTCATTTTTATGGCTGAGTAGTAGTCCATTGTATAAATATACCACATCTTCTTTATCTAGTCATCTGTCGATGGACATTTAGGCTGTTTCCATGTCTTGGCTATTGTAAATAGTGCTGCTATGAACATT